TACCTATCCTAGTACAGCCTGCTCCACCCCTCGGTACCGGAATGCTACCCTCCGCATTTCCCAACAAATTTGGTACTAATTTCAACCCCAGACACGTGTTTCATCTGTAGCGCATCAGCGTCGTCTCGTGAACTAATACACTAGAAAAATCCTCTTCTCTTGTAAAAACACGCCTTCAACTCCTATTACCAACTAGTCAAAACCAGAAAACCTCTTTTAGTATCCGACGTACTCTAACTCGTCAAAATGGGTAATGCTTTACGAGTGGTTATGTGCACTGTTGCCAAAAAACGATTCCTCTCTTCGCCACTTTTGCGGCAGACCATGCGTGGGTTATCCAGGATCAGCGGTTCAACGTGGTGAACACTCACCAAAGGGGCTGCCCATAACTAATGCGTCCGAGGAATACACTGACAGACGTGCATCTAACCATAAAACGTATCAGACATTCACATGTCTTGATGCTGTGCGGATGAACATCCAACCACCGTGTTGGCCTCGAAGTCTTCTGCAGTAGTCGGCTTGCAGTCACTCTGCAGGTTCGGGTTTAATGTCCACTGACAAGTGAGTCAAGCCCTATTTGCTGTTCCGCAGATGTGCCATTGCTATTTCCTACTATCCTAATCAACTATATATGGACTGGCCGGTGCGTGACACTTGACCCGCCCATTATTATAATGACACTGCACAATGACTACCATTTTAAGCGCAGCGACAACAACACCCTCCTCTTGAGTGTGTAGAACATCAAGTCCAAGTTAGTTTTAACAATTTTGAGCACTCCAATTGACGTTTCTTTGTTTTAGCCATCACTGCAGTAGTCAGAAAATAGGATTTTACGATTTACTTCATGACCTTGAGGTGACCGGACGGCTTCCACGGTGAGTGCATTTTGAATATAAATTGCGTCAAGGTTATCGAGGCGTCGAGTTAATCTCGAAGGCATTTATGTGACACCACGTTGTCAAAATCCGGTCTCTGCATGCAGAACTCCAGATCTGGGTTTTAATGGGCCATCCGTTATGAGCTGCCACAGGATCAGCCGCCTGCGACAGGTGTCTTCCTCCACTGATGTATCGCTCTTCCAGAGCGAGTCCGTAAAAGCTGTCATCAATAAGGCGTCTAATTTGACTCTATTCTCAAATTCTAGTATGTTGCAGTCTATAACCACACTGGAGACTAAAGCAACCTAAATCTTAGAACCATGATGTTGAAACAGAATGCTTCGAAAGGAGGTCACTTCGTCTTCATTGATTATTCAAACAAGAGGAATTGCAAATAATAGGTTCTTACATGTGCCAAATAAATCTGTTCGACATTACTAACATGTCTATCCTACAATTTTCACGCATTTGCTAATGCATAATTTATTATTACATAAAAGATAGCGAGGCTGTTAGACACAACCCAGGATCTACCAAGGTTGCATTTTAAATATGCAGATTTTATCCTTTCAACCCCTACATTAGAAAGAGGGATTTTAGGAGAGGAAGTATCAAGGCAAGAATATATTTTACTGTCTTCAGCTTTCAAGGCGATATAGAGATGCATGCAAGCTTCGTGATGACCAATTGAGGACTCTCGGACACGTTGAGCCACTTCTCTCCAACGGTGATTCAGCAATTCAAAAGGTAACAGCCGTTTAGGGTAGGGCATAAAAAGAATGAAGATGGGACGCAGTTTTATTCTCCTAGTAAAATTAAAGTCCAAACTACATCTAAGTTGGAGCATTCCACACGCAAGCATGACGCGTCAAATCTGCGCATTATGCTTCCACTCACCTGCACTTCTCTTCGCATTTCCGCGAGAAAAACGACCTCACGTTCAACTACTTTCCATGACAGAGAATGAGATAAGAGCACCAAGACTTCGCGACACTGACAAGTTAAGGCTCATTTCTCACTCTCCAATGGTTGCATGTTGGAGAGAAGATGGAGCACCCTTCGTTCCGTCAACTAAATGCTCATTTCACTAGATAACTAATAAAGTAGAGTTGGTGATGCAGTGAATGAATTAAACGATTAATAAATAACTTTTAATCAAGACCAACTTGGCACAAAGGTGACACGCTGTTGGTGTAGCAGGGGCGATGAGTGATTTGGGAGGAGGAAGTCGATATCGAGATATCGATAGGCCCAATGGGGAAAGCGGTATCGATTTGTGTACAAGCATTGATCGACCCAG